AAACCCGAGGACTTATCAATTTGAATCCATCCGGACCGAACTAACTTTCATTTATTCATTTATTCATCCATGATCAGCATCTTAATAACGAGTGTTTCTTTTTTTTCCTTTTTTTTTCTCTCTCTCGCTCGCTCTTTGTCGTCCTGAAGTCCTTTGTGCTCAAACGTGGACTGTGAGGACATCTCGGCGGATCAAGGATTCTGGGGTTCATTATCGTAATTCTTTTGATGTGCGTATTACGTGTGTGATGTGAAATGCGATGTTGTTTTTCCGTTTTTCGTTTTTTTTTTTAGAAATTATAGGAATGAGTTCGTTTCTCATGGCTTGGTGGGTTGTTCAAGATCTGTGATAAAATGGTATTCGCTTGTGAGAGTAAAATTGATAATTATTTTCCCGTTTTTTTTTTTTCTTTGCGGAGAAAAATACGTTATTCTTTTTCTTATTTTTTTGTTATCTTGAGGCCGTTTCTTCGTTTGTCACCGGCATCATTAAGGTCCTCGGTGGTTATATATCACTGTGGGATTAGACGGAATAAAACAAGGGAGTGACAGTCTGGGGTGTATAATAATTTTCATGAGGGTTCAGATAGCATCTCCATGATTAATTGTTGGCTTCGGATCCGCTGGCGGAGTCGCCTCTCTCGCTTACCCGGCGGGAAGCCACATCGGCCACTGGTTTTAACCCGGCAACCCCTTTGTGTGGGTACTGCGCCCTCTGACTATTAGTCGGTCGTGGCGCCGGCCTCGCTGCTGTGAACGGTTTTATTGCTTCCATTAACATCGATTTCATTAAGAGGATGGAATTTATAGGCATGTTGCTCTTAGGGAGGGAAGGGGGGGTGAGAGTGCAGGTGGGGGTTTATAGGTTTGGATTCGGTGCATTTATATATATACATGTATATGTACATATATATATATATATATATATATATATATATATATATATATATATATATATATATATATATATATATATATATATATATATATATATACACATATACATATACACATATATATTAATGTATATGTGTATGTATATATACATATACATATATATACATGTATACATATACATATACGTATACATACACATATGCATATATACATATATATGTATACATATACATAAATATATATTTATAAATAAATGAGAAAGAGAAAGAAAGAGAGATATAGAGTTTGTATGTGAACGGAAACATATATATGTGTGTGTGTGCGTGCGTGTGTGTGTGTGTGTGTGCGTGTGTGTGTGTGTGTGTGTGCGTGTGTGTGTGCGTGTGTGTGTGTGTGTGTGTGTGTGTGTGTGTGTGTATATGTGTGTGTGTGTGTGGTGCGTGCGCGTGTGTGCATCTATGTGTATGTGTATGCGTGTGTGTGTGTGTGTGTGTGTGTGTGTGTGTGTGTGTGTGTGTGTGTGTGTGTGTGGGTGTGTGTGTGTGGGTGTGTGCATGTGTGTGCATGCATTCATGTATACATGTATATATATATTCATATATATATATGCATATAATCGAATGTATACCATCGGAATTTCTTTCACTTTGTATGCAATAACAAAGCGATAAATACGCAAAGCAAAATTCGTTTTCCAAGAAGTCATAGAATAGTATACGTAAGTAGTGCGTAACTTGAACCCAAGGTATAATCCGTATGTAGTTGATTACTTTCTCCCATATCCCTCCCGCCTCTTGGTAACTCTACCTCCCGTCCTCCCCCCTCCCCCCTCCCCTCACTTTCTTAACACCCGCTCCTCCTTCCTTCTCCCACCCTCACCTCCTTCCTTCTCCCACCCCCTCCTCCGGCCTGATCCATCACCGCGCTGACCGCACTCGATCTCATAATCGCCCGAAAGAGTCGCAGATATTACGGGCGGGTCCGGCATTACACGAAGGGGCGGAGTCATACGCCGTCGGTCGAGTCAGGGAGAGATAGAAAAAATAGGCCTTTTAGACACGGGGTCTTAAAGGCGATAATCCCTTCCAGAGGTGGAAGAGACACGACCTAAGTGCACGGGCATTGTTAGGCTTTAATGGGATGGTTATTCGGGTGTTGCTCCGCCCTGATCTTCGCTACGTTTACAAAGTAGACCGGGAAAATAGTCATTGTTGGAGGTAAAAGGAGTAATTTCACGCGATTTAATAACCGTTGTTATGTCGCTTTCTGCTGACGATCGTGTTAATGGAAGATAAATATTTGGGCTTTGAGATCTGAAGCACGAAAACGTAAAATTTATTTTTTCCGGAGAATTTTGCTTTTTATAGGTCTTTTTTTGTTATATCGTATTGTCAACTTTCTTGAGATCGTATCCAGGAAACGTCTTTACTCTTGATAAATAGTTGATTCGTTTTTTTTTTTTTTCATATAAACATGTTCTTTCTTGGTACTGTAATTTCCTTCTCTTGTTTGATATTTGTTCATGCCAAAGGTGGGTCTTGGTACCGAAAAGAGAGGGGCACTTATAATATGTAGTTTTAAGTTAATCATTATCATCTATAGGT